ATTTTACAGGGAAAGTACGTAGTTTCAGCCAATTTGTTTCCAAGATATATCGGTTAGATGATTCCTAATAACAAACAATTCACACAAAATATCTTACTGCTAGAGCATTTTACAGGGAAAGTACGTAGTTTCAGCCAATTTGTTTTTCGCTAGTTATTTACAATGAATATCACAACAGGCAAAAACGTAAAACGACTCAATATGTGGAACCCGCCAATAGTGAAAGGTGTACAAAAAAGTTAGTAATTTGAAGGCTAAATAACTAGCGCTTGCTAGAGTAATGCATTTAAACCATCAAATTCGACACATGTTCTTGCTGGTCTATGGACTACACATACGAATTGTTTATTATAGAACTCACAGCCAATAAGGATAAAGACGTCTATCAGATATTTCTAGCACGTTCGATCCGGTTTAAATTCTAGCCACAACTTGATCTCAAAGACTAGGACATACAACAAAACTGGTAACATGGAAAACAGCTAATAAACCTAACTTTTTATTCCATAGCTTACAGCTTCTAGACTTTACAGAATACAAAGTAGCCTTCGTACTTAGTAAAGCCCAACATACAAAGGTCGTGTTTTCATAGAAAAGGTGTTGGGATTCCTGACATGTATGTGGCAGTAAGTGATACAAGCTTTTGGTTCAGTCATGTTGACTCAGGAAACTGACGCAGTAATTCATATCATCACACAGATCCAGCAAGCGGAATATCTATGTAGTGTTAGGAATGTTAATATGGGGAAACAATACCCATGCAGTAACTATCGTTATGGTGTGTGGGTACGCCTTTATACTCCTCTTTCTACATTGGGCTATATGCTGTGTCCACCGCGGGGAATCGAACCCGCATTCTAGCATTGTAATAAGACATTAGTATTAAGCCTATTAGATTTTTAAACACTACTTTCTTGATCTAGTCTCTAGGGATTTTCAAGACTGTATTAAGAATGTGGTATTTAACAATGTAAAAGGCCTAATACTAATGTCTTATGACACTGTAATACCCATGGAGTATTCGGATTGTTAATATGGGGAAACAGTACCCATGAAGTATATGAAATGTTAATATACGAAAGTAGTTCCCACGGACAGCATCCTAGAGACAAATCACGATATCCCGAACACTAACGAAAGCTAGCTTAAAGACAGCATGCCTACAGTCAAATAACGATAACATGAACATCAACGAAAGCTAGCTTAAAGACAACATGCCCATAGTCAAATAACGATAACATGAACATCAACGAAAGCTAGCTTAAAGACAGCATGCCTATAGTTAAATAACGATAACACGAACATCAACGAAAGCTAGCTTAAAGACAGCATGCCTATAGTCAAATAACGAAAACATGAACATTGACGAAAGCTAGCTTAAAGACGGGATGACTATAGTCAAATAACGATAACATGAACATCGACGAAAGCTAGCTTAAAGACAGCATGCCCATAGTCAAATAACGATAGCATGAACATTGACGAAAGCTAGCTTAAAGACAGCATGCCCATAGTCAAATAACGATAACATGAACATTGACAAAAGCTAGCTTAAAGACAGCATACCTAGAGTTTAGTTTTAGTTTATTATGAATTTCGCGCAAAGCTACACGAGGGCTATCTGCGCTAGTCGTCCCTAATTTAGCAGTGTAAGACTAGAGGGAAGGCAGCTAGTCATCACCACCCACCGCCAACTCTTGGGCTACTCTTTTACAAACGAATAGTGGGATTGGCCGTAACTTTATAACGCCCCCACGGCTGAAAGAGCGAGCATGTTTGGTGAGACGGGGATTCAAACCCGCGACCCTCAGACAGCGAGTCGAGTACCCTAACCACCTGGCCATGATGGACCTACATGCCTAGAGATGAATAACAATATCCAAAACATTGATGAAAGTTGGCTTAAAGTCTGCCCAGAGACGAATAATGATAAAATAAACACTGACGAAAGCCAGCTTAAAGTCTGCCTAGAGACGAATAATGATAACATGAACCTTGAAGAAAGCTAACTTATAGAAATAATGCCTAGAGACAAATAACGATAATATGAACGTTGACGAAGACTGGCTTAATGACAGCAAACCAAGAGACAAATTACGATATCATGGGCATAGACGAACATTTTAAATACTTCCAAAAATTATGCAACAACGGTATTTTCGCTGGTCTAGTAATTCAAAGAAAACCACAGTATTCAATGTCATTTTTTATATTTTTAAACAAAAATAACCCACAAGGCAAAAATGCTCCAAGTATGAACGAACTTTAAAACTGTCATAACATTATATTAATTACACAGCTGTACATCATGCCTATAATTATCTGTTACAAGTTTTTTATAACAAATACGAACATCCGCATTGTTTTAAGCTATATTTTTAACTAGAGGGCGCAGAACCCCCAGAAAATTCTAAGTTTTACGTACATTCAAGCTGTAATATAAATATGAGATAGGTGTGAAAATTGTAGTTAGAATTATTTTAAAGAAAGAGAGTTCAATCAGTCAATGTGTTTGCTGTTGCGCTTATTGATTTATTTGTCTTACGTTATTTAAAGGCATTCGTAGCGTAGGCTTGCAAAAACTTGCACCAGTGTACAAGTGTTCAAAATTGTAGAAACGTAAGGGAGGAAATGAACTAATTTTTGATAGTTTACGTGGACTGGACATTAAATTATTTACACCAGGTATTTTGTTTATTTTGAGTTTCGCGCAAAGCTACACGAGGGCTATCTGCGCTAGCCGTCTCTAATTTACCAGTAGTAGACTACAGAGATGACAGCTAGTCAACATCACCCACTGCCAACCCTTAGGCTACTCTTTTACCAAAGAATAGTGCAACTGACCGCCACATTATAACGCCCCCAGGGCCAAAAAAAGGACGAACATGTTTGGTGTCATGGGGCTTCGAAACCGCGATCCGCAAATTGCGAGTCTAGAGCCTTAACCACCAGGCCGACATTATCAAAGTAAACCATGATATTTGATAAGGTCAAACCTGTCTAGTACAGCCTGCGAAAATATAGTGGTCTCTTTCAGGTTAGTATTTTTTATTTTCAACCATTAAAATTACATTTTCACATGAATAAATATGTACAGATTAAGCCTTGACTTCAAGTCAGTTTGAAATATCGGTCGCATTTTAAATTACTCGTACTTCAAATAATTATTAAATATTAGTTTAGTAGCCACGGAACTGACTCGGAAGTACAAAATAAGATAAAAATTCTAAGTACAAAGCTACAGTTAAAATGTTGCGCTGGTTACTAGATTTACTTCATTACCGTAAATCTTATAATGCAGAATAGGCTTAGGTTTAATTTAATCGTAGTTTTTATACTAGTTCTGTAGATCTAATATTTTTCTTAATATTGTACAGACTTGCTTACAGCAAATGATGAAAACGAATAGAAATTCTAAAATAATGAGCATATACCGGTCTCTTTCTGTAAAAAAAAAACAAAAAACTCTTTATATTACTCTGTGAATGTGACATTATACAACAAACTTAATAGGTCCACAATTGACATCGTTCATTTTCTTCCGCTACATTATGCAACCTTACTTTGGGAGAACACTGAAGTTTCTTTAACGACGCTGCTAGTTCTAGAACCCCCTTTTCTTTGAAATCACTTAGGCCTACCACATCGATGGCAAGCTTAATAACTGATAGGATATTGATACCGCTGAACAACCATCTAGGTGTATCATCAACCATATTAAATACGATTTCAAAAACTAAAAACAGATTAACCCGTTAATGAACACTACAGATTAAGAGTTGAAATAGTACTCGATTTGTCGTACACTAAACTAATGTTTAAATATTTTGAACAATTGTTACTAAAACAAAATATGGTATTATATACGAATCATTTATTTTCCAATTAATTTGAGAGAAACAAAAAGGTTAACATTTCTATTATATAGCAAAAAGTCTGTTGTGAATGATGAAGAAAAAAGGCTATTATTTCATTTATTTCAAATTCCAAGTTTAATGCATATTACAAAACAAAAGGAAAACTTACAAACACTTGTTAGGATAATTAACTCGTATAATTTATCGTGTGTGGTGAAACAGTAACCATGACAACTTTTAGTAGAATAAAAATCGAGCTATTACTTGAGGTTTTCTTTAGATTGGATGAATATGTATAGATATTGCTAAGGAATTTGACATAGTTAACTACATTTTTTATTGTGTATTACTTTATTACTTGAGGTTTTCTTTAGATTGGATGAATATGTATAGATATTGCTAAGGAATTTGACATAGTTAACTACATTTTTATTGTGTATTACTTTATTACTTGAGGTTTTCTTTAGATTGGATGAATATGTATAGATATTGCTAAGGAATTTGACATAGTTAACTACATTTTTATTGTGTATTACTTTATTACTTGAGGTTTTCTTTAAATTGGATGAATATGTATGGATATTGCTAAGGAATTTGACATAGTTAACTACATGTTTATTGTGTATTACTTGAGGTTTTCGGAGGCGCTCACTAACCGATTGAAAAAGTACTTAAAATGTGGGATGTACCAAGTAAACAATAACCAAACTGACAAACATCAAGTTTAAACGTGAAACATCCACACACCTACAGCCTTTTACAGTTACAATATGAGACATACAGGTTCAATAACTAAATACTGATTCAAAAGCACCTACACATATTGTTCTTCGGTTACAACCTGTGACATATCAGCTAAAAGAAAAAACATCTACACATTCTATACTTCTCCAATTACAATTCGAGTAAAAAGCGTCTAAACATAGCTTTTTTTTCTAGTTACAACGTGAGACATACAGCATGAAACACACCTACAGTTAGTCTTCGAGATTTACAGTTTGAAAAACACATAAAAGTTAATTATGTTCCCCACTTTCTCCATACTAAGAGAGATATATTGCTATCCCTATGTTTTTCTTCTTTTTTCCAACAACCAAAATTGTGTGCCATTCTTTTATTTCTGGGTCGATCGTCTTGGATGCTATATACTTTGGTTTGTTTGTTTTGAATTTCACGCAAAGCTATACGAGGGTTATCTGCGTTAGTCGTCCCTAATTTAGCAGTGTAAAACTAGAGGGAAGGCAGCTAGTCATCACCACCCACCGCCAACTCTTGGAATACTCTTTTACCAACGAACAACAATAAGCATATTTTTTCTAGAAATAGTAACTTATGCGACAAGCCAATATAAAGAACTTGAAAATCTATTATAATAACATCTTATTAGATGTGTAGTTTAACATCTGAGGAAAACAAACTTTCGATCAATGATTATTTTGTAAGAAGGAAACACACGAACCAATTATAACACAGATATTTAACAAAACTATTTTATCACGAAAACAGTGATAGGTCCTCCTACTCATTTACTCTGGAATGGAGATTGAACAGATAATACTCCAGATTTATAGTTTCATGAAATAAAAGTACATACGCAAGAAAGATAACACATTCTACACCACTAAGCGAATAGTTTCAAGAAAGTATATAACATCAAGTATTTTTAACACATCAGTCACGTCTACTAAAATCACTCACCCCTCGAAAGAAATTTTGCTCTGGCTACATTAACAGGCCTACGGACTTAGAAAAGTTTTATGATCTGAATAACTCACTACATTCCTTCACGCTACAGCAAAACTCTTAAGTGCAAAGAATATTCTGGAACACTACGTGTGTGTGGCTAGAATGGCAAATGTTTCCTTCTGATCGATGAAACTGTGATGTGGAATGGGCGCCTCGAGTTAAGGGGGTGTTCGGTGGGTTTAGTTAAAGTATTTCTGCGGCTTGGCATAGAATGTAAAGTTTTAATTAGAGCGGGGTTTTCGCGAGTTAAAAATACGTTTCATTTTAAACCAGACTTCAGAAATCGCGATTACAATATCTAAGAGAGTGGAATAGCAAAGTGAAAAGATGAGTCTTCTGAATCCGTGTCGTTCCCATAAATTTTAAAATAGGAATTTTTCTTCAAAACGCCCTCTATGTTAAAGAATACAAGGACAAATTAGGATAGTATTCATGCAGAAGAAACTATATATTACAAGTAGAATTACGCCGTCTGTATCGAACGCTAAGGAAATATCAATGATGCAATAACTTTATTTTTATTTATATAGGACCACGACAAACCAAAAATTAGGAGCTAGTAAAACAATCTCTTTATTCTGATTTTTCTCATAATAATTACTAGTTTGTGTTTCTTAATTTATTAAAAATTATCCCAAGAACTAAAGACACTGCTAACCCTAGAATTATCAATGGACTCCATTGAATTTTTAAATACACTTTTCCTTATTATCTATCTATCTATCAAATTCCTTGTGCGTTAATTGTTGGTTTGTTGGTTATGGGGTTCCAAATAACATAAATTGGGAAGAAATTAAAATTTTAACGGAAAGTAGGGATCGTTGGTTATTCGTAGAATTGTTATAAGAAGTATCCAAAACAAAATAAATGCTGCAATGAAAAGTACACAAACAAGTAAAGTGATACAAACTGGATAAATTTTAAAACGATTTTCAATCCCTACTTTGGTTGACATTGTGATCCGTATAGATAAATG